GATGTTGCATTCTTGATGCTTCTTCACCGCAGTTGGGCTAAACCATCTTACACTTAAACTAGGTCTTTTTAAGCTGGATAAATTTCATTCCGCTTTATTTGGTTTGTTCTGCCTCCCTGAATAATGTTCTATTAACTGGCCACGTTGCTTACACTAATTGCGCTTATCTTCGGTAATTTTGTTGCGTTTGTAGCATTTTAAGTAACTTGTGGACATGTCTTACTTATCACGGATTTGTTGCTAACCAAATTACTTCATATGGTAATTTAGCGAAGAGTTATGCCACCGTATCTGTATGCATTATTGGATTTATTTTATTTCAGCTTTTCGTTTAAAGTGAATGGCTGTTGTTTGCTATCCCTGGTATGGTTGCGCTTGATGTGTATGTTGACAAGGTGCCTACCTGTCTATTACCCACTACATCGTTCATACTGGCTCCAGGAGACAGTTGGTCGTTGCTGGAGGGGACGGGGTGCACGGTTCATGTGGCCGTGCTAGGCTCAAAGAGCGGTTCCATGCACTCAGTGTGGAGCGGACTACGGTCCAGCCACCGCCTTGTGTGCGCTTGATTCCCCAAATACAGCGTGCTTGTGTTTGCCTGTGAAGGAGTGTGGGCCGGCTCCGTTGATGAAACGTGGTTCCCATCCGCATGCCTCCCGGTCTTATTCCTTCGGGTTTACACTGGATATGGGGTATGTGGTTGGAGCTGTGGGTGGTGCAGCGCAAGCCATCCATGGTCCCTCTGTAGGCGCAGGCGTCCTGTGGCTTGCCACAGTGACAGGCAAATCCGAAACCGGATGCCGCCAACCATGTATGTATGTGTGCCCCATGCTGAGGCTGATGTTGCATTCTTGATGCTTCTTCACCGCAGTTGGGCTAAACCATCTTACACTTAAACTAGGTCTTTTTAAGCTGGATAAATTTCATTCCGCTTTATTTGGTTTGTTCTGCCTCCCTGAATAATGTTCTATTAACTGGCCACGTTGCTTACACTAATTGCGCTTATCTTCGGTAATTTTGTTGCGTTTGTAGCATTTTAAGTAACTTGTGGACATGTCTTACTTATCACGGATTTGTTGCTAACCAAATTACTTCATATGGTAATTTAGCGAAGAGTTATGCCACCGTATCTGTATGCATTATTGGATTTATTTTATTTCAGCTTTTCGTTTAAAGTGAATGGCTGTTGTTTGCTATCCCTGGTATGGTTGCGCTTGATGTGTATGTTGACAAGGTGCCTACCTGTCTATTACCCACTACATCGTTCATACTGGCTCCAGGAGACAGTTGGTCGTTGCTGGAGGGGACGGGGTGCACGGTTCTTGTGGCCGTGCTAGGCTCAAAGAGCGGTTCCATGCACTCAGTGTGGAGCGGACTACGGTCCAGCCACCGCCTTGTGTGCGCTTGATTCCCCAAATACAGCGTGCTTGTGTTTGCCTGTGAAGGAGTGTGGGCCGGCTCCGTTGATGAAACGTGGTTCCCATCCGCATGCCTCCCGGTCTTATTCCTTCGGGTTTACACTGGATATGGGGTATGTGGTTGGAGCTGTGGGTGGTGCAGCGCAAGCCATCCATGGTCCCTCTGTAGGCGCAGGCGTCCTGTGGCTTGCCACAGTGACAGGCAAATCCGAAACCGGATGCCGCCAACCATATATATATCTTCACAGCCTGTTAACAGACATTGTGCCATCAGAACCATGGCAGAAGAAAAAAGTGAAGATGTGAACATGAACGACTAAAAAATATGGGAAACGATTTTTTGGTTTTACACACGCTATTTTGTATTTTTTGTTTTGTTTAGTGAGTTTTTGTGTGCATCGAAGGATGGTAAAATGGCAGAACAACATTGACGCCACTGATGTCTGTTGCGGGCCATCACGTCTAATGTTTCCAACCACTGAGATTCAGCATCTCGTGGTCCCCAACCTGGAAGACGGACTGGTCCGACTGCCGCCAAACTTGAGGTTGTCTTCTTCATGAACCTTCTCCACGTCATTGGCTGTCCACCGCGGCACATTTTCCAGTCGCTCCCTGGGAGTGCAAATAGCGCTCGACGTGGAAGACGATGAGCTGGCATGCGCAGAACGTGCCCGAGCCAACACATGCGATGTCGGAGAATAACATCCTGAAGACTGGCACTATTCGCCCCAAGCACGCGGTCCCGCACGTCTGCGTTGCTTACGTGGTGTTGCCACCACATCCGAGTAATCCTTCGTAGACAGCGATTGTCAAAGACTGACAGCCGCTTCGTATCTTCCGAGCGAACAGGCCAAGTCTCACAGCCATACAAGAGTATGGCACGGACGGAAGCATTGTACATCCTGCCCTGGAGCTTGAGACTGACATCACGACGACGCCATAGGTGTCTCAGTTTGATGAATGCAAGGCAGGCCCTTGCAATCCGTTGAGACTTCATCTCCAACACCGCCACCAGCCGTGATGCAATTCCCTAGATAAGTAAAGCAAGGGACTTGCTCCAGAACATGTCCAGCAATAGTGAGCGCGGATTCAGGCACCTGCCAGTCCTGAAGCAGCGTTTTACATTTTCCCGGAGTGAAGCATAGGCCGTACTTAGACGCCTACATCGCCAAGCGGTCCAAAGCACTCTGGACGGATTGTGCGGTTGTCCCCCAGCAAGGCGATGTCATTGGCGTGGTCCAAGTCCGTGACTCTGTCTCCAGAGAGGAGCTCAACACCGCAGTCCTGGACACCTTCCGGTGGGGACGGTACTCGCCAGCATTCTATCGAGAATACCTCAAGTCTGTTAACGTGAGCTGGCCACTCTCGTTGCACCCCGGATGGGAGAGGAGCAAACAGGTTCTAAAGCGCAGCAGGACTGTGATAGCGGATACAACAGCACCGCGCGCACCTCGGAGTGACTACAGCTGCGTTCCTCCATTTCAGTAGCGAGCTCGATTCAGTCTTGCTCATTATCACTACCACGAAATATGAAAGTTTTGTGTCAGTGTCTAATTTCTTTACGGTAACAGGTGGTATCTGCCAGGTTTGTCTTATTTCATCGCTTAGACTCAATTTGTAGTAGACCCCATCACGGTGCATTCTCTTGTGGAGTCTCACAATGCAGGTATTCAGTTCCTAACCGACAGAACACCGGTTGATCTGGATTTTGTGGACAAAACCGTCTTGCTGTTCTACATTCACGAGGAGGGACACCAGGTCTCCGACGAACACTTTGGAGTGTTACCATCTCTAATTACGCGCTTAACACCTTCAAGATGCAAAGTACTATTGTAAAGCAGTCATACTCGTTCTGCCTAGTGACAACGAAGAGCTATTAATAATTGGTCAATCCACCTACCTTTGCATCTGCAACGTGATTCCTGTAATTAGCTCACGTAGTACAAAGGCCAGGACAACTCTCATGAATCTTCGGCACATCCAGCATCGGGTTGAATCCCTCTAGCTTTAAACGCCACGTTTACAGAAAAACAGCGATACATGACTCCTGATTACAGGGAACCCGAGGCAAGTTCGAGTCCTTGATCATCGTTTCTTGCGGAGCACTCATTGTATCGGGTGGTGACACCACTATGTCCGCACCGGTGAGGCGCACTGGCAAGTGTTAGGTGTGATGTTCAGACCAGAACATTGGGGCAACCAATGGAAAGGAACAAATAGCGTTGGTCGAGCATGAGTTGTACATAAACCCGTTCATCGCACCCCTCCCTACGAGGATACCGTTGTCTTTTTTAGCTGGTCCAGGACAATTTAAGATGCGAGTGAGCAAGAGCTAAGCTGATCGCATGGAATGAGAGCGTTGACCACTAGATTCAGTGATGCTCGTTCGTACCGCCTTAAGGTCAAGATTCACGCGACTGTACTTGTATCGAGGCCTCACAGCCTACACCATTGGCGCGTTTTCTTAGCCGGACTGCCAGTTTTATGAGGAGAGATTTGAGGGTGTAGCTGACTATGACGTGTTGCAGTGAGAGTCCTAATCAGACTGTCTCGCCGAAGTCATCTTTACAAGATAGCCGGATACTGTGACCTATGCTGTTGAGAAGACGCATGCGTCATGCTACTGAATGTTTGCTCATGACATTTACACCCCATATAATGTCCCTTTTTCCCTCCAAACATTATTCCTCACTGATATGTTCACTGATCTTACAGTATCGGTGCAAGGCGCCAATGTGTCGCTATTGTCTCCGTCTGAATCAAAAATGACAACCGCGGAGGGATTTCTCATTTCTGACCGCCGATACCGGCGTGCCGCATGAGTAATACTGCTGCCTAACAGGGGGAACCGTGAGGGATCGCGTCGTGGGTCTGAGCCATTTTCGTTGGGCTAAACATATCTGACATGGCAGTGAGTACCCTACCAGTGTGCATTGTTTAGCACAGCCACGCCATCGATTGATAGCGTATCGTATCATTCTTTTCTGCATTCCTCCAGCTGAGACTTCTGGTATTGTCAACCTAACGTTTCGTCTATCGGGTCATGGAAATAGAACGGCGGAACCAAATGAACTGTGCACCGTCACACGGAGAAGCTTTTTCAAGCGAAGTACATGGTATTTCTCATGTGCACACCATCTAATGTTGGGCCTGCAACAGAATTCCATACGAATTTGGATTGCCGATGCCAAACATGTCCCCAAGAAAACTCTCGAGGTAGCGTACAAGTCAAAATTTGCCGAGTACCGCATCAGTGAACTATGTTCGAGGGTAACCTGACTGGATGCTAAATGATCCTTTAGATAAACATCGCTTATTTCGACAAACTTAATGTAATAAATTGCTCTGGTTGGCCCGCCATGCGCATTTCAAGTAACGACTCTTCACACGCCAACTTTAGTTTATCCATGTTTGTAAAATATACAAAGGCTTAGTTCTGTTCCCTCGGTATCTTCGTGCATCGCTGTTCACATTGGCACAACAAGAGGCACGAATGCGAGGACGGATACACTGCTCCTGCATTGGGTGAAAGTGTTGGGCAATTATGCGTGATGGAATGGCACCGGCAGTTGTGGTTCTGGATCAGCAAACAGGCTCAAGTGGATACCCGCGGAGTTTTTCCCTAGCAAATTGGTTCGCCAACTTTATCACTTCATCCAGAGCGTCGAGACGGGTACCAGTAGCTTGTGCGAACAAATCTTTTCCTCCACCTTTTCCATTCATAGCAGTAGAAATGCTTCCCACCCATTCGTTGGCCTTCAAGCCACAGGAAACGACATTCTGAAAAATATGCACAAAAGGGAAACGAATTAACTGGGACGCGAGGTTTCAATCCCAAAGGATGAATAAGTAGTGAGACTGTGAGACAAGTGCCAATCTATCAGTGGGTTGACGGGGGACCGTAAAAGGGAGTGGCAAACGAACCCGTTACACTAACAGTATGCTGCTACATCTTACCGGCACTTCGCTGTCACGCGACCACCGCCAGTCGCGCGTGAGCCAGGGATGCTGTACGGTCACCCGCACCTAGGCATATTTGGACTGATGATCATTAGACACTTCATCTACTCCGCTTGAGAACTAAAAGGACATAAATAAATGACAAGATGTTCCTGAACACATTAGGAAGCCAGGTGAAAACTCGCCAGAATACCATGAAAATCCTTGGATTATGATCAATGGCCAGATTAACCGCCACTCATTTACTACAATTTACATAAATCTATCTGGAGATCGTGTTTTCATGCGGAAAGAGGTTGTTTATGAAGTTGGGCGACAAAGGTTGCAAGTGCATATGTTCATCCAAAGCTGAGCTCTTTTCTCGAACCCCAGACAGATCGGAACGTCTAATCCTTTGGTGTCTGGTTCTCTTCTGCAGTTTCCAGGCTTTCCCCCCACCGACGTATAGCGACCGCACAACAGTTAAATGTTAGGGTGATAACTATTAACGATTAAACTAAGGCATACTCAGAACGCAAAAGAACGAGAAATTGAAACGTTGTATTTCCTTTGTAATTCCAAATAAGAATATTGGAAGGTGATTGACTGTCGCATTTTAGGGCACCCGCAGTGTGTCTTGAATTACGGTACGCAATCTCAATCGTGGTCTCCGTTGACTTTGGAATCAGCTTCTGCCATTCCGACCAGGACGAAACGCGTCGTGGAGTGCAGTGATGGGAGAAAGCAATACCGAAGCCTTCCACTTCGGATACTGTCAAAATGATCGGAATGGCAGAGGCTGACTTCAAAGTCAACTGAGACCACAATTGAGATCGCGGGCGCACAAAAATCCGACAATCAATTTTTAACCCCTGTGTCAAGCGCTGCTCGCGGAGACCAATAGCCCAGTGATCATAGCGGTAGCCACCAAACACAATATGCTGAGTCCCACTTGCAGATCAGGCGATCTCTCTATCTGATGGGTTCAAACAAGGACGAAACAGATCGTGGAGCGCAGTGGTAAAAAAGAACAGCATTGAAATCCTTCACATCAGAAGACGATATTGATATTCTTATTTGGATCAGAATATAAAACAGGCATTTTCAGACTAGTTCTATCGGCTTGTGACAATAATGGCTTCCAGCTCTAGCATGAAAAGTGCTTACTAGAAAAACAATTTCAGCACTCATGTCAGTAAGCAAAGCGCTGAGAGACTTACTTTAGGGACTTGGGTCAGGCACACAAACTTTCCGGTTGAGGAGCAGGGTGATAAAGCCATTACGGCGGTTCCAGGACATTCACGTTCTAAAAGTTTCAGTGCAGCATGGATAGCTTTGGCGCTCGCTCCTCCGGGGAACACATGCACGATGAACTGTGTTTTCGCATTCCCGTCAGAAGTTAGACTCTCAATTAAACGTCGAGCGTCCGCCATCACCTGACCATAGAAAAAAATGACAGACGCTGCTAGATTTGTTAAAAGCATCGGGTTAGCATGGAGACGCCGTCACTTATGTGATGGTGCGTTCAGTCTGGTTAGACGGAGCAAGCTATCATGGACCACATCGCCATAAGAACCGTTGGCAACGGTTCTGGAAATTTGAGAGAGGAAACGAAAGTAGCCGCACCTACACGAGTGCTTTAAATGAAAAGGGTGGATAGACAGGTTGAAGTCACAGATAGCCATTTATTTTGTTGTTGTGTCAGATAAGAGTTCGATCGCTGATTTAACCAATAGTTTGGGTCGCATTCAAAGAAATATGAAATCAACAAGGAGAGCCGGTTTGGAAAAATGATTCAATCGGATACGATGGCTAGAGTTAAATATACCTCTTATTCAGGTAAGATAAAAAGCGGGCGATGCAAGTGGTCATGAAAATCGGTAAGACGCAGCTTAGTGTCAAAATCAGACAATGCAGCACATATATGGAAACAAACCTCTGTTGCGAGAGTAGATTTTGCCAGCTTGTCACGGTCGTCCAGCTGCTTCCGGGCTTCGCTCAGTACATCACGTAAGCGAACACGGCAAACTTGGCTTATACACGCTTGGGATACCTTTGCCGATAAAACCCCGAGACTCTGGTTCAAGTTTTGGAATTTCGAAGTGAACTCATCAACATCGATAGATGTATCGCCGTTGACGTAACCGGAACAAGCAGTGAAGTTCTGTATGCGACTAAGCAATTCCTGGACCTCGGCCTGCAGATCACAGGCTTCACGCTTAGCCTAGAAAAAGAAGTGAGGAGATTAGTGCATAACATCAGATGTCAACAGTGAGATAAACATGAAAGCATTTGCTTACTGGTGGCCGGAGAGATTAGACATCTACCCTGCATCCCAAAGGTCACTAGTTGGAATTTTCTAAGGTGCGGGCGACCTCGCAGTACTCTTAGCCCGCACACGACCGATGGTGCGGCGTACCAGAGTATTGCTAATGCTTGATGACCATCTGCTGTTTAGGTGTTGGTTTCCCACTATCGGACTTGTTTGATAACGAAGCAAAATGATATGAAGTAACAAAACGCAAACGATGCAAAATCGATGTGAAAATATGTATTTATTAAGGGGTGTAATGCCACAGAAGTACTCTGAATTGCATAGTAAATTCAGATGTCAAGCAGAGTATCCATTCACAATCCAATGAAGTAAATGAAAGAGCAAATAGCAACGTAAACCAGGAGACAAGTGGATGGGTCGATATTATACCTCACATATGCATCAAGCAAGCATTCGTAGTCAAGGTGCCTATGCCTAGCCAGGACCTTGTGATCCCCAACAGTTGATTATCCTAGAAGGATGGAGGAGCGTTGGCAAGGTGAACTCACTGCGGCAGTTGCTAATGTATTCCAATGATCTTATAGGTAAGTTGGAAACATGGTCAGCGGACGATGATAAACCCACCGCTAGTGGTAGTTGCGCGTTATGTCCCACAGTCTCAGTGAACGAGCCAACAGCAATGACTTTATTTTCTACTACCAAATCAAATTTTATTTCCCCAGAAGTCTATGATACACTGCATTTGGTAGACAAAACAGTTCTCCCTACGGGGTAAGTGGGCATAAGCAGAAAGTGCACGAGCAACCAAAACCTACTCAGTAGTGTCTGTTGAACCAAGAAAATAATCTGGCCATAGCTCCCTAAAAGTCATTTCGGACCTCAACAATGAGGATACGCTGATGGCAACCGACATGGGCAATGCCCTCTGGGTACCGGTGCTCAAAGATCAGAATGGGCCGAATAAGACAAATGGCTATTGCTGTAATACTGTTACCATGGCGATCAAGACGATGCGGCTATTGTGTGGCAGACTGATAATGATATTTCCAGCTTCTGAAACTCTTGACGATGGCGTGCTGCAGGTGGATAAGGTCAAAGGTATAGCGGACAATCAGCACGGAAGCGGCCACATCCCGCTACGCCACAACTACCACAGACAATAAAGCGATGAGGAGTGGGCAGCGAACTCCATTTGGCAAAACAAAATGACCCCCCAAAGATTTAGGTGGAAAGAAATCTGTATAGATGCGGTTTTATCACTAAGAAGCCAGGAAGGATGCTCCGAGAAATCAGTATACAACTGTTGTGAATTTTAAAGTTGTAAGGACATCAGCAGTATGCCGGTAAACATTACCGACGCTTCGCTGCCGCGCGACCACGACCAGTCACACGTGGGCTACAGATACTGCGAGTCGCCGGGTCCCCACGCAGGCACGAACCCGCGTTATCGGATTACAAGGCAAACCTTGTGATCCGTAAAGCCGACAAAGTTGAAAGGGACGGGAAATATGTTCTTACTGGACGATCAGGTTGAGATATCCAAATTCTCAATTTCAATACAATTCAAGAAAGTGCTTTATGCAACCATACGAGTGAATATACAGCTGTTACACACACGCCTTCAGCATAGTAAAAGAAATGAAGCAGTAAATACACAATTAGAGTAATAAGTGGCATAAACAGCAGTATGGTTATGATGCAAAGTTGTTTTTAGTTCTAGGACAACTGACGTCTGGTCACACGAAACGTGCCCTTGTGCGGGCAAAAATGGAGCTATACTTTTGTCTGGTTGAGGGTGTTGATACACACTCAGGCAGTGCCCATGAAGAGGGTGAATTGTGTCAGTTAGTATTCTCGAAACAAGCCTTATGCATAAACTGATGTGGGTGAACACAAGAATCTCAACAAATGTGGGCTTGGAAATTCCACTACACCGCGATAATTGCGTCAGTGACCTACCTAGGATTCTGAAGTGCTTCCTTAGGAAACCAGAAAATATCACAGTGGGGCCATAAGTCCAAAATGGTAAACCGCATGCGGTGATAAACTTCAGAATTAAGTGGCGGGGGACAGAGAAGGATCGCAAACGAAGGGCCTAGAACGAAAGCCTCCTCACCTTTGCAAAGACATCATTAACATGGAGTGAACAGGAAAGATCACGAATGAGTGTTACTCCTAGGTACTTCACTGACAATCTGAATTGCAAATTCTCGCCATATATGTGAAGTTCAGGGTATTCTATGAGAAGTTGCTGATAACCATGTCCTTTATGTAGGGAGAAAATGACCTCATTGCATTTTGATGCACTCAGCGATAAAATTTGAGCTCTGAACCATATTACAAGACTGTCCAGATAGGCTTGTAATTTACTTGATAAGACTGCGGTCGGTTGTTGCATACCCAAGACTACGTCGTCTGCATATTTCAGCAATACCGACTCGGCAGTAGCAGGTAAAGAGGAAATGTATGTGGAAAAGTGGTATGGTATGACCCCTTGAAGAACTCCAGTGTCTGTGCTAAGCAGCGAGGAAGTTCTACCTCCAAGTCGAGTAAATTGCGCACGTCCAGTGAAGTAGTCTCTCAAAAGGTGGACAGCAGAGAGCTGAATTCCGGCAAGGTACAGGTCACTCAAAAGAAGCACACGGTTTACACTGCCGAAAGCGTTACTTTAATCGAGAAAACACATACATACGGATGTGACCTTGTTATCTAGTGACGACAGTGAATGTACAAGATAGACCTCAAGCAAACTGTAGCGGATCATCTAAATGAGCCTGATGCAGCAACCTTTCAAAAATAAGCTTCTCGAATATCTTAAAGTTTTCCGAGGTGCAGACAATTGGTCGGTATTTATCCCAGCCCCTATTTGACACCGGTGTAATTCGTGCACTTCAACAGCAATCAGCAGTACTACACTCTTTCATGCACAACGTGTATAGATTAGTAAGAGGCTGGGCCAAAGAATCAGCACACAGTTGGAGGACATCGGATGATAGTCCGTTCGGGCCACTTGCTTTGTTGGAGTTTAGCTGTAGTAGTTAATTGCGCGCTGTATTTCTGTCAATGTCAGGTAAGTAGGTTGTGGGCCGATCAAAGCGTGAGGAAGGTGAGATATGGAATTAGCATTGAAGCAACAGAAGTTTCGGTTCAGTTCTTCCAGGTCCATATCTGGATTTGACAATCGATTAGAGACTCAAACAAGCTGTTTCAGCATATGCCAGACATCTCGGCAGCTACTGTTTCCAAGTATGGTCTGGACATATACGTGGTTTATATATCTGGTTGATTGAAATAGTAAAAGATTTCACCGCAACGCGGTCTTACGCTTTTAATGCTTTCTCTTGGAGCCTACGCAAGCGTTTTAGGTATGGAGATGCAAACCGATCCGCACAGATGAAGATGGTTTCCAGTGGGCAGCAGGTATAAAAGCAGAAGTTGATGTAACTCGTTAACTGGTCGCAGGATTTAGGTATTTCGTTCTCAAAAAAATATACTAAAATCTGTAGATGGAATCATTTCCTGAAGTCGATATATGTTCTCAGGTGAACATTGTCTTCTTTTAAGCCTGCGATCTTTACAACGAGTAACATCCCTATGATTTATTTTGCTATACACGACGGGAGATAACTTAATATTTGAGTGGTCAGAACTGCCAATCGGTGCCTGATTGCATACAAAAACAGCTTCGCATTGTTAACAAATATAAAGTCTATAGTTGCTTCAAGTCTGGTGGGGAGTTTACAACGTTTTGCAGCCCAAAGTCTGTAAGAAATGGTGTCAAATCTGTTAAAATCACCAGCAAAGATGCAGAGAAGAATCAATATGGTCGGTGACACTTGAAGTGAACTGATCGCAAAGTTCCTCAGCCTCAGAGGAGGGACAACTGGGGGAAATGTAGATATTTGAAAGTAAAATCGAAAGGTAGCCACTTAAATACCGTTTACATTCCAAAACCAGACAGTTAATAATAGAAGGAAAACGAAACCATTTTGTTGATGTGCACTACACAGGATTGACATAAGTGATGACACCTCCGCTGCAGCTCTTGTATGTAGCTGACCGGTCGACATGATGGCAAATAAATCTCTCGATCGCTACAACCTCATCGTCAACATCTTCATGGAGCCACATCTCTTGATGCATAAGTCAAGGCAAGCTTCGAGTATTAACGACAGCGAATTTGCTTTTAATCTCATCCATTTTGTTCATAACTGATCGGACATTTGAGTTTATTATGATGGGTATACTCATACTCCGCGATGCGTTCTTTCGTAGAGAAACCCTCCATCCAGCACGATGCTTATTAGTAGAATGATTATACTTCTTGTAGATCCGCCTCAGTTTATTTTCTATAGCTTGACCGTGAGAAACCGTGACATTCAGTGGAGTAGAAACACATAGGGATTTTAAAATATCGGAAGTATAGGTCATCATGGTCTTGAAGTTTGTATGGATTGGGTAAAAAACATGCAAAAATTGCCGAAAGTGTGAGTCTAAGTAATTTTCCAGATGGAACAAAACAGCACGGCCAAGTTTGAAGGCCCCGCCAGACGACGCTATATGGTGGCTTACTCGGTTTGTAAAGATGTCAAGGAAAGATAACCGAACTCACACGTTCCCCTTCACTCCCTGTAAGGGCCACGATCCGGCGGACACCCTTGGCGATTGCTTCTTCACTGACTATAACCAACACCCCAATGTGTTTCACATTGAGCAGATGTCTACAAGGTTAATAATAATGCGGTATAAACCAGCAGGTGTGAACAGCTAGTCATGATCTGGAAAGATAAATAATGTAATAAAGGTTGAGGCAAAATGGCTACGGGTGATGAGATGAATAGGAGGGAAAGTTTCCGCAGAACTCTGGACCGTTGGGTGAATAAGATCTTGAGAGGAGACACAAGACCTCGGACGCAATAACAGAAGCTGTCGACCGAAAATACAACTCAGAAAACTCACGTGCCACCGCAAAATTCGACCGATGTATGAAGTGCACCGGGTCCTGATGGGTTATTGACGAGCGATTCCACAGGAATGCCGATCGAAACAACTCGAACGGGATCCGGATACACTTCCCCGAATACCGCACGAAGACCGTTAATCGTTCTTGCGGTAGATAGCTCTACGTCAGTTGCGTAAACTGGTACCTTGCTCTCCAACAAGGAATCGCAGATCGCTTCCATGCGAAGCAGTTCCTCCGGACACATGCCACGCTAAGAAAAATGGAACGGTCTGGGATTAGTGCACGGGTTGGGTAGACTATTTGCCGTGTGGACAAATCATCTGTTCCACCTACCTTGGCAGAGAAATCAAAACGCAACTTTTCCGGAGCCACCAAACTGCCTTTCTGATCAGTATCTCCGAGTACGACGCGAACGGCAAAGTTAAGTACATGCGTGCCAGTGTGATTACGCATAAGACCAAGTCGACGAACCGGATCGATTGATAAGCGAACTTTGTCTCCGACTGCAAATCGGCCTTCCAAACGCCCAATGTGAAGAATGTAACCACCGCGACACTGGACGTCAAACACGCTAAATTCGCAGACCTGTGGAGTAAGGCAGTGAAACGTAACATCACGCAGGCATCAGGTTAGAAATAAACAGACACAACAGTAGTGAAAGATGCAATAGGTAAGTGCAAACGGTTTTACACGTTCATTGGTGAGATATAAGCACCTTAAAAGTATATGGAAAGGTGTGGGGAATGTATTGCACGTACTCACTGCGAAGAAAGAGTGGTGAGAATGAACGAGTAGATGGACAGATACGACAGAGGTTGGGTGAATCTGGATGCTGATACGAACGAAACAGAGGCCGGTCGTTTAGCAGGAAGTAGAATATCAAAAATGTAGAGGTGACAAGTAAGAAATCAGGGTGGTATAGACCAACTGGATGCTGTTCAAAAAGCTGAAACCGAGGAAAGATGAAACCCTAACCGCAACAGTGATTCTGAGCATCAAAAGGAACGGAGAGCGAGAAATATTTGCTAAGTAGAACAAATCACTTACATCATCATCAACACCTGTGATAAACCCGTGGTCACACTGTTGACCCCCAGCCTCAGCGTAGAAGATGGTTTTATCCAAAATAAAACCATAAGTTTGACCGAATTGATCAGCTGGGGAACAGAACTCTGATTCTTGACGAATGGCCACAATGGATGCTTGCAAATCAGGGAAATCTGAAGACAAGAAAAAACAAACAACGTGGCTGCGACCATTCAAAAGTTAGCCCTTAAGGGACAGAACGCAGGTGAAAAGGTGATAACTTGTTAAATAGCTCCGTTCAATCCCAAACTAAGAGCACCTTCGAGCAAATGAGGAGAAGTAAGTAGTTCCATAAAAGTAAGTATGAGGTGATTAGGTCCAAAACTATTATAAATAACCTAGGATGGGAGAGAGCAACACCGAAACTCTCCAACCTGGCATGTGATTTAACCCTTTGATTCCCGAACTGATTTACCTACAGCCCGAAGTAAACCATAAAATTTTACCCCACACACAGTAGAGCAAAGTATCGGAGTTCTGATTCTTACTTCATTGTTGACAGGTTATTGTACGTATCCTCGCGAGTACCGGCAGGAATGACACTTGCACTGAAGCAGTATCACAATTGGAACAAAGTGCTACTTATAAGTACCGCCAAGACACAAAGGATTAGGTGATTAGAAAGCGACAAGTGAATCCGAAATTGAGTCATAAGTGGAAATCTATGAACTGTCAGTGCATGCTAGGAATAGCACGACAACTGTCCCCAGAAATTAGGGATGCAGATGTGTGGCATGGTTTGTTCGTGTTACAAAGGGTTTTATGGGTGTTTTCATCTCGCAGAGTAAAAAAGGAAGAAACCAGAGATAAATGTTCCCACAGATAAACAGACACTACTGCATGGCACAGCTAGTGCACTCTAAGCTCTGCCTATGGAAAACGTCAAGTGATTTTAATGACGTGGGCTGATTTCACAAGATAGCTGTTCGCGCCTGTGGAGGTCTAGAGATGGAGCCACTGCAGAGGGCAGACGAACCAATAATTGGCTTAAGTGGCCAGTGCCACGAGATCGGTTGTTTGTGTACGTGTGTTTGTTCCAACACTTGACGAAAAATAAACATGCGGTCACAGCAACTTTGACCAACTTGGACGCCAAACTGGCTTTCAAGATGACCGGTGAATCGTCGCGGAATGACACCTATTAAGTTTTGAGGTGATGAAAAGGCACTCATGTCAACCGATGGATCAGCACGAGCAATCTGAGCACGGAGTGATCCACAGTGCCTGGAACCAGAAGAAGAACGTTTAGTACATGGGCAGTACTTTCGTACTCAAAAACAAGGTACGGTGATTCTGTTCGTATGTCAGACAGGTGAGCTGGAGAGGATATAGGAATCACACACCACAATACAACGTCGGAGGGTGGGTTGCGTCTACAACAGTCAGGATAGCTGAAAGATGAAGGACAAATCTGGACACTAACGGTATCTAATGCAACTTGTAGAAGTTGTAGAAATCTGGAAACGAACGACAGTGTGAAACAGCGGGACAACAACACTTGAAAACAAACCGTAGTTCCCCGCCCCATCGGCAGCGTAGTTGTATTTATAGCTATCGTCCGTTGCGGGAATATTCTTCTCGCGTAGATCAGCTATCGCGTGGGCATCCAAGTCGATTCCACCGGAAAGAGCATTTGATCCAGCTTGGCTACGAGCCTGTGCAACTTCCTTTTCCTTTTCATATCCTACGATATCTACCTGTGCGGAAAGTTGAAAGGTATAAAGCACTATTATCTTTGAATAAGAATGCATCAGCAATACGCCAGTACATCGTACCGACGCTTTATCAATACGCACCCTCCACCAGTCTCGCGTAGGTTATATATATATATATATATATATGTATATATATATATATATATATATATATATATATATATATATATATATATATATATAATCTGTGGCACAGATATTGTGCCATCGGAATAGGAAAACAGTATGGATAATAAGAAAAATAACAACCAAAGCTTTTTTGTCTAGTTTACCACTCACAGTTTTTGAAATCTTTTCAGTTTGTATTTTAGGGGGAGGAAGGAGGGACATTGCAACACACCGATGCACACGTCCGCCATTGACACCGATCTTGAGCTATAGCTTCCAAGGTCTTCAACCAGCAAGTATCCGAATCTCTCGGACCCCAACCAGGTAGTCGATAACAACCGGCCGAGGCCAACTGTTTCGTCAGCTTTTTTCATGCGGCTTCTCCAAGTTGCAGACTGTCCACCAGACCGTCTCTTCTAGCCCTGTCCAGCAACCACAAACAATGCACAACGCGGGTAACGCTGGACAGGTATGCGCAATACTTGTCCCAGCCACCGCAGTTGATGCAGTGAGACGAGCTCCTTGAGCGAGTGGCTTCCTCGTCCCAAGATACGCTGTCAAACTTTCACATTGCTTACGTGGTGCCGCCACCACACACGGGCAATGGAAACCAAACAGCGGTGCTCGAAGACGGATAGCCTGCGCAAGTAATCCTTACGAATGGGCCAGGTCTCGCATCTGTACAACAGTACAGCGCGAACAGTTGCACAATAGACCCGCCCCTTGATGGAGAGACGAATGTCGTGGCGACGCCACAAGTGCTTCAGCCTAGAAAAAACGAGGCGTGCTCTCGAGATGCACATCGAAATCTCGTCTCCAACAGCCCCACCAGCAGTGATGCAACTACCCAAGGAGACAAAGCGCTCCACACCCTCCAGTGTCTCACCACCAAGTGTGAGTGCAGGCACAGGCACCTGCCAGTCTTGAGAGAGAGCCTTGCATTTGGATGGCTAAAAGTACATACCATACTTTGATGCTTCAATCGCCAAGCGGTTTAGTGCAATTTGGATGGCGTGTGGCTCGTCACTCAGCAAGACGATATCATCAGCATATTCCAAATCAACAACCCGACTACTTTGAAGGAGTTCAGCGTCAGCGTTCAACGAATCGCCCAGAGCGTTCTTTAGGACATCCTTAATGGCAAAATTGTATAGGAACTGATAGGGCATCTTTGTCGAACTCCACTGGAGACCACAAAGGAAGGTGAAAGCTTGCCATAAGCCCTAACCCTGTTCTAAGTCAAACCATAGAGAGCGCGCAGTATGGAGACGAACTCTCCGGGGACGCCATTCCTCCGTAGGCAGTGCCGTCCGATTGACAGAATCGAAGGTTGCACGGATATCCAAGAACACAGCAATCGTGGACCTCCGATACACATGGCGGATTGTGAAGATTTGATCGATGCAGCTGCGACCAGGGCGAAGCCCAGCTTGTTCTTCTCGCTGCAACGATCCACGCGTTGGGGATAGCCTGCGAAGTATGATGGACAGCAACATCTTGCAAACGACGGGGAAGAAGCTTATGTCTCTGTAGTTGGAGCAGATTATGCGCAGGCCCTTGTTGAAGATGGGGACGAATATCGATTCACCCCAGAATGATGGAACTTCCTCTTTCGGCCAAACTTTCAAGAACAAAGCAGTGAGTTCTTGAACCAGCGAAGCGCCATCATCTTTAAATCGAGCTGGAGGAAGACCATCAGAGCCGGGGGCTTTATAACACTTCAGGTGGCGAAGCTTCTGATCGATTTCCTGGAAAGAAGGAGGATCTGTGGGGGTAGACCACTCGGCACCAGCGCGAGCGCTGGGGGCCAACAGAACTGCAAGCCAAAATGTTCGGCTTATCGCCCCAACCGGCATTGAACATTGGTGATTAAGGTGCCATCCTCTATGCAAGTCAGTTCATTTATACTACATCAAACATTTTCGATAACTCGAATGAGATGGAAAAGTTTGCTGGTATTACCAGAGTGACTAGCAAGCTCAACCTCTCTGGAACGTTCACACCACCAAGCTTAGCGGTTCATTTGCAACTCTCGACCCAGGGATTAGTGTTCTTCACTGTGTCTGGAATCCGACGGGATCAAGCGGTGTTTGTTCGTCAGCGATAAGGAGACGGTGGAAATCCAATGCTTCGGTGGGTGACGGGCAACTCCACAAGTGTCGATACTGGCGGAAACTAAGGCACCTTTGATCTGCGCCTACTGCGAATCGAGGTCACCGTCAATAGTTGAGCCAAGCAAGGTTGACAGTGAGGCTTGACACCTGGTTAAAATCGCAGGGTTTTGTAGATTTGCGACGTCCGGTCGGTAGTGAGCGCGCTCGAGTGATTCTCCGGAACGCATGCAAAACTCAGCACGAACCAATGCTTGATCGGAGTCTCGATAAGTTGACTAGTACGATCGGCAGTCCGTTACGCTTCTGTGCCATCTGTAGCTGATTGCTATGTGGTCAAGCTGGGAACACTCTTACGTTTGTGGCTTCCTGGAGAAATGATGCTAGACTCAACGGTTACTGGAGAAGTTGATCCGACCTCGTACGTCACACGCCTGATTCAGCACTTCAGTTCAATTCGTCTAACGCCACCTCGAATCAGTCCTCTGAGTCAACAGGTACACCCGGATTTGCGCACTTGCCCCTTCGTTCTCGTGCGCGTCGATTCCGTCCGTAAACCTCTGACACCGCCTTACGAGGGCCCCTTCAAGGGTGTTGCCCGGAAAGAGAAGTACTTCGTGCTGGATAGAAATAGTTATCAGGATACTGTGTCTATTGACCTCCTGAAGCCGGCGTACATTGAGTCGCGATCTATACCGAAACCCACAGACATTCCTGTCACCGACCAGCCCACCTTCCCAAGTACGCCTCCTACTCAGCCCATGTCTGACACCTCTGTTCCCCCTTCTGCACCCCAAGCACCTCACGACACAAACTCGAAATCGCATCATAGCACACGCTTCGGACGTACAGTTGTTCTCCCTTCCAGACTACGGTAAATGACACCCAAGTATCGAGCTTTCGTCTCAGAGACTCACGCTCTAGGGGGGGGGGAGTTCATTAGCGCGTGTACATATCTTTCTTCCCAATTGTACTTTCCTATTCTCATTTCCATTATTATTGTACAGTTTTGTTTTAACTGACCAACAACCGATAACACACTTTTTCGGGTTTCGATTCGCCTTCTGGTTTCGGCTCTGCGTGTTGTGCTGTTTGTCGTCGTCTGTCTGCTGGCCTCGCCCATCGATCATCCGATCTAACGCGTCGATTTATTGTGCCGACTAGGTTCCGGTCTTCCGATCAGATTGTGGGACTAACTGACAGCCTAGCGAAAATCGTGCTTTACCTAAGGTCAGCCACCGCATTCTTATTTATAGACTGAGTTCTTATATGTGGTTAAGCCCTTTCCGTTTGGCCTTTCCACTACATATTTTTCCTATTTGCAAATACCGTCCACATTAAGTTGATATCGATTCTCAATTTGTAATTACGCAATAGTATAGCCGTTAAGCTAAACCGAAAATGTTTTTTATTGATTGAAATTCGTCACACTTGGCATGTTTTTTCAATGCATTCTTATCGTATACCGTAAATGCGTTTTTCTGTTTGCGATTACCGTTGACAATAAGCAGAAATTGGTTTCCAACAATAGCTGTTAAGCTAAACCGAAAATGTTTTCGAGTGACCAGCATTCAACCAAAAGGTGTCCAGTTGGGACGGCCGGGGTCACGAAAATTGGTCACTGTGAGCCCCAATGCTCACTCGCGCTGAGTGGAATTACCATTTCCTTAAAAAATAACCCCTTTATGCAAAGGACGGAGGTGCTAAAGATGTGTAATCTTATTTAACGGCATATCTGGACAGATCACGCCATTTATTTTCATATTAACAGTTTAACTGTACGAGTGACCAAAATCGCCCTTAAATTGGACGGCTGGCCGTACATCTGTGCGGATACGGAGGTAAGGTGTCGAGGATAGCCTAGATTGTGGTTGTCGTTTCTTCTCTTTGTCTTCCCGTTCCGTCTTAATTATCGTTACAGCAGCGCTTACTCTTGCTTTTTCGTCATCCATCCAATCATTTCAGGCTCGTTCCTCCATCGGCAGCTGTGACAACGCCGTGCAGTTCGTCACGATGTCAGGTCAGGTCAGGTCGGCTTCCAAAGACCATACAGGCTTCCGCCTAACGAGCGTCCTGTTTTTTGCACCGGTAAGCGAATAAGAACGCACTATCCGTCCAGTTTCGACTCTTACTACGTGGTTGCGATGAAACTGTCCAGCCGCCTACGACGTATCTCGTTTGCATTTCAGCCCCCTCGATCTATTACGGCCCACGTACTCCCCGAAACCAGAAGCCCTCGATCACACGCATACTACATGTTTGACGATCCTGACAGCTCAAAATGCCACTCTGAAGCAGGACTGTGGCCGTTGGAGCGATCACTAACATTTCCTCACACGGAATTGTCTGAGTATATCACATCGCTCATCAGTCTATGTGCTTCAGTAGGTTGATAAGGCTCAGGGTTTTTTTAGGCGCTGAGGACAGCGCCTGATTAGAGGGGGATAATGGAGCGCGTCAGTGTTGCTGAATCACCTTAACAGTTGTCGTCGAGCATAGCCTAGATTGTGATTATCGTTTTTTCTTTGCCTTCCCATTTCGTCTTCAGTATCATGTTTGTTTTCGCCATCCATTCCGTCACAAGCTCGGTCCTTCATCGGCAGGTGGGACAACGCCGTCCAGCTCGTCACGGTGTGTTAAACAGGCGCACCATCCATCCAGCTTCGACTCTTACTACATGATTGCGATGAAACTCTCTAGTTGCCTACGACGTATCTCTTTTGCATTTCAGCTCCCTCTGTTTATTACGGTCCACATACGCCCCGGAAACAAGCCCTCGGAACCCTCGACCGGACGCATACTACGATTATGTTGATATTTGTTGGTGCTGGTCTTTCCTCAGTGGATGATTTGACGATCAGCGGTCTAAAAGCGCTTCGAAGTTCTGAGCACGTTTACCTGGACATGTACACTTCCATCATTCCTGGGTTCGCCAAGGAGTTAGAGCAACTCATAGCTACTGACGTGCAGTTGGCTGATCGTGAATTAATTGAGGAGGGACATGAACTTCTTGAACTTGCCCGCGACCATACAGTATCTTTTGTTGTAATTGGAGACCCCCTGAGTGCGACAACTCATGCAGGTCAGCCGAAATACAGAAATCTTGATGGTTCGCAGACTTGATTTTACGGGCCGTGAAGTTAAATATTCCGTTTCGGATCATTCACAACACTTCAATTATGACCGCAGTTGGTTGCTGCGGCCTACAGCTCTATAATTTTGGTGCTACAATTTCGATTCCATTTTGGGACGAATCTGGAGCCCCGGATAGTTTTTACGATAAGTTGTTGGGAAATTTTGCATCTGGTCTGCATACATTGTGCCTCCTTGATATACGGGTATGTTCCTCATGCTCTGCAGATTTTGCTTCCTTTTTGTCACATACGGTCTGATGGCGTGAGCGTCCTTTGATTGCTCTGTTGTATGCGTCCGGTCGAGGATTCTGAAGTCTGACGTGTCTAACACGTATATGGTCAGGTCAGGTCGGTCTCCAGGGGCGAAACGGGCCTTCGCCTAGCGACCGTCCCGTTTCCTGGGCCGGTAAACAAGAAAAGGCCCCCGGTACTTCAAAATCCAAACTTCATCGCTTCTAAAAAGCCCAACAAGAGTAAGAGCAACCACTCATAACTTCATGCAACTATCCATGGCATCCTACCGATCACGGGCTATTTTCTATTAATTAGTATCCTTCAGGGCCACTCATACCAGATTGGTCAATGGTTAGAGGCCAGACAAACTCAGCCTCCTGCTCCTCCAGCATGGGGGTTGAAATGAGCGTGGCTCCTTATTTCTTAAAACGGACTCTTCGTAGCCCAACGCCAAACCTGCTGCCTTGCGGTCAGGTTTTTGAACCAAAGGCTTTGGTTGTGAACCCTAATCGTTCTCCTGTCTAGGCTTGGGCAACCTGACAGTAGCCTGTCCACGCGATACAATGAATTTATCTCCAAACAATTTCTTGATGCTCTGGCCGTCGCAGAGGATAATGAACGGCGCCCTACCTGCTGCATCGAGCAGGGTGGATGGGGGGTTGGGTGCTGCTGCTCAAGCCTTCCCGTCTTCTTATTCACCCTCTTACGCCTTTTCACCCTTATCGTCCCGTTCCAACTTCACTTTCATCGCTGCCTACGCGCCCACAATCTCTAGTGATGATTGGGGGAAAAACGACTTCTACCGCCAAACGACCGCGCTTTTTCGCCACAGAAAAGCACGGACACTTGTGCTGGTGGGAGATCTGAACGCTCAAGTTGGAAAATTATCCACTGATGAACTGCGTCTGGGCGGCCAACACGGTGTAAGTTCCCGTAATGATAACGGTGAGCGGTCACTTCATTTGTGTAAAGATGCCCGCTTATTTCTTGCGCACACTAACTTCCGACACAGCACCCGCCAGAGGGTGACGTGGCGCTCACCAGCCTTGGACGCAAATCGATAACATTGCGATCAGTTACCAGTGGAGAGGCATCGTCAAAAACTGTCGCTCGTTTTGGAGCACATGTGTGGACACTGACCATGCATTTGTATGTGCTGACATGCGGGATACGTTTTGGCGGACTCCCACGACGACGCTGTGAGCGCATTGACGCTCGTCAACTGGCGAAGCCAGCTGTTCTGAATGCATACCGAAGTACGCTGGCATTCGGACTGAGTTAGCGCTCACTGACCACATGTTCACCAGACCTTACTAACAGCAGGAAAATCTCCATGTGGTAAGTCTAAAAGTAAACATGGACATTTGGTCTCTGGAACTTATCCTTGCTCGCCAGCATATTCCGGCTGGAAACGAACACAATGAAACTCGCAAAGAGCTCCGGGCAAAACTCCGTGCTAGCCTGAAGAGAGACCGCGAATCCTAGTGGTCTCTGTGCGTCGGAGATGGAAGTGGCTGCTGCTCTTGGTAACCATCAGAACTTGTTCCTTCTGATATGGGGAACGGGCAGCAGGAGACCTGTTGCTAGTGAAACTATTTATGACGAGAGTGCACAGCCTATCCACAACTTGTCAAAACTTTTGGAGCGTTAGACTGAGCATTTTGAAAAGCAATTTAATCAGCTGGAATTGTTAGCTTCCCCACCGTCCAGTGATCGTCCTGCTCCGTGGCCTGTACCTTTGGATCCGCTCAGAAGTCGAATGTGAGATTGGACCGTTGAAGTTAGGCCGAGAGACCAGATGATCTTGCTCCTGCCATCTTCAAATTCGAGGACCCTGATCTTGTTGATGATTTACACGAATTACTAGTGAAACTGGCAGCAGCAAATTGTCCCAGCCGATTGGAGCCGCTCCGTTATTGTTCCAATCTTCATAGGAGACTGACGTTCGAAATGCGGCAATCATAGAGGAATCAGTCTTATCCCATCACCTCCAAATAGCTTGCCTCTGTCATCCTTCACAGACTGACTGGCGTTCGTGAGAGCCAGATTCGTGAGAAGTAAGCCGGGTTCCGTCTTCGTCGTGACTGCATCGACCACATCTTCACCTTGCGTCAAGTGTTGGAGCGCCGCCATGTCTATTGGCGGCCCACCGTTGTCGTGTTCCTCGACATCAAAAGTGCCTTCGATTCGGTTGATCGATGTGCCCTTTGGAACTGTCTGCTCAGGAAAGGTGTGCCCGAGAAGTATGTAAATATTTTCTGTGCACTGTACGCGCGTAGCACGGGCAGAGTGAGGGCTTACGGCAAGCTGTCGCCACCCTTCACTATCTCCAGCGGTGTGAAACAAGGATTCCCGCTGTCGCCTTTCCTCTTCAACTTCGCTCTTGACTTAGTCATTGAGCTTGCATTCACAGGACACGATTTAGGCGTGGAGTTCCTCCCAGGGAACGACGTGAGTATGCATATGATATTGCCCACATTTGTGACGGCTGCCAGACGTGCCAAACTGCACTGGACAAATTATCACTTGCTGTCAGCCGCTCAGGGCTTTGTTTCACACCCTCGAAGTGCAAAGCGTTCCTCCAAGATTGACAGGGATCGCCTCCTGCGCTGACTCTTGGTGGGGATCAGCTAGAAGTCGTTCAGAAATTCAGCTACCTGAGAAGTTCTATCAGCGCTCTTGGGATCGAAGATGAGATCACGAACCGTATAGCAAAAGCTCGAAGTGTTTTTACTAGCCTTCGTTATCTGTGGCGTCGGCGTGACACCACTCTCGCCCTGAAGGGTAGAGTGTACAATGCAGCCGTAGGTTCGACCCTACTGTACGGTTGCGAAACCTGCCCTTAGATCAGCGGACATAAACAGGCTAGTTACGTTCAACCACCGATGCCTTCGCACTTTGGCTCATATCTATTGGGAATACCGCTTGAGCAACGAACGTGTTCGACCCCTTGTTTACTGTACAGGAAAAGGGACTGAACTGCTCAGCACCGTCATTTAACGCACCAGGCTCCGATGGCTTGGACACGTGTTACTCATGCCAGCCCACCGACCCCCACGACGTGCGTTGTTTGTTCACCGGGGGTGTGGATGGAAGAACAGGACAGATGGCCAAGCGATGACTTGATCGGGAGGAATGAAGGCTCTCACTTCGAAGCTGGCCTCGGTTAGAGCGCCACCGCTTCTTGGTTGCAGTCCAAGAGACGATAAACACTTTTGGCTAGATACGCTTGCTGACATGGCTGGGAACCGACCTCAGTGGCGGTCCTGCTGTGAGTTTCTTCATCCCTCCCCATCGCTTTTAGCCTCCCACTTCAACCACGATCTTACTTCGTAGCATAATATAATTTTACGTAACAATCTTTTGTTGCCTAGTAGCCGGCTGGTAGGTTTCCGGAACGATGCCCATCCGTTGTTGATAGCTCAACTGTCATGCGACTGTTGCATTTTTTTTCTGTAATGTATTGCGGCACAGTAGCTGTGGTGTTTTACACGTCTAGCTAACGTGTATAGTGGTGATGATGAGTACTCACTAATCTCAGTGCGATTCCGGAGGGAGTGGACCAGTTCATATCCAGACCTATTCTATTAGAGGTCTTTTAATAGAGCAGGGGCTGAAATGTGATGCAATATCATGACTGCGGCACAATAGCTGTAGCATGTTTCTCACCTACAGTTACGATAATTTGCATGTGTTTTGGCGGTTCACTTAGGGCCAAGGAAATCCTACTCAACACTCACAAGTTGGAGGACCCAGCGGTGAAAACGGCATCAACAGAGGCTTCGGGAAAATCTTGCTCTACCACGTACTCTGGATGTTGCTCAACACTGGTCAAGCTTGCAATATTTGCAACAATTAGATCCCTTCAGTAATTTGGATAAAGCCATAAGAAGACGAACACCGGCTGATGTCAACATTTCATATTTGTCTCTTCACTGCCAATAAAATAACATGAAAATATATACGACGGTAGGTAGGGTGAGACCGGAACAATTTAGAACAGCGTAGGGGGTAGGCGTGACACCCCTGCGCCCAGGCCAGCCGTAGGCTTACAAACAACTTTCTGAATACAGAGCGCGGGTTTCATACGGCTGATCGCGACTGCCTCTGCGAAACGTAGACTAGGTCTTCTTGGTATGCTAAAGATTGCTTGTGAATGTCAGCTACCGGACTTGTCTCTCACATTGGTTTAGTAAAAAATGTATCCAAGAAACACAAACACCTGATTTACTTCTAAGCCAGTCAGCTTACGTATTGGTTGCAGGTCCCTTTATCGCCTGCTTATTATATTGCATCGTTTTTATTTTATTGTGATCCACACCCGTTTTCTAAACCCATGAACTTTCCCATTTCGTTCAATCCAATTTATTTAGGTCAAAGAAAAGTCACTGGAGAATATCCTTCGGCAGCGAAATGTGTACGAACCCTCAAGGTTCATGTCCTGTGAAATTGCTGCTCAACAACTGCTGGAGATAGCTGACAAACGACAAGCTTCTTCCGGTGATATCTGTCCCGCCTTGGCCCCCGATTGCCTTGCTGTCGGACTGGCCCGTGTGGGGTCGGCTACTCAGATGATCGTCGTGACATCTTTAAAAGAAATGAGTCGCACTTGTGATGACGAACGGAAAACTTGTGACAGCGCTTCTGTCGCTATGACGCTCGGTGGTCCGTTGCATAGCATGATCATTCCTGGTTTCATACAACCGATTGAAGAGGAATTTTTGCTCTCCCGTTACCTTCACCCCGAATCATCAAGTCAAAATCTACCGATTGTAGCCATACCTTCCCATTCAAATTTGTCCAACCAGTTGACAGATTTGCGCCAGTTATTTGCTGTTCACAATCGACTTGTATTGGGAGCCAAAAACGGAATAAAACATTCCACGAAATCTTACATGCATACCTTACGCTCCTTCTTTATTGCATACCTGCATGAATTGCGTCCTTCTCTTTTCTTCCAGGCACTATATGTGCCTGCAATCGTAGTTGTTCACTTATGTTTTTATGTCTGCCCGCTACTACGACTAGAAACAAGCGGAGATCGTCCTCGTCTTCGGATGAACTATGGTAGTCTTTCACCACTCATGCTCTCCATTGTGGGGCCAGAAGTATAAGATCGAGGAGTCGCAATTGTCTTCATTTATCCTGTTTTCCCAAACGTTTCGCGTTCATCCTGGATAGCTCGCGGATTTACTCTAGCCGCTCAGTAGCCTATGGTTTAAACCGTGCGTAGCGATCTCTAGAGACCTTATTTGCCTACCCGCGTTGTTGTGAGGGCATTGGTTTCAACCGCAGCGACAGTCAAACCACTTGGCTGGCTTGCTGAACGCCCTCCTTGTGATAATAGCTGGTTGGTTCGGGTGTATCGCGTTCCAGCGAATTGTTCGGCGGCAGTGTTCCACCTCGGTAGGGTATTGTACTCCGGTAATTGTACTGATTTCATAAGGAGGATTAGACCCCTGTTTGGTAACTTACCAAAAAAAGACATAAACTGAACATTCAGTCACCGACTCACAGGCGCGATTCCCTGAATTCGCCCCGCTGCCTTTGGGGTAGGCTATATAGCCAAAGGCCCGGAGTAGTGTCCCCTAAGACAGCTCCCTACTTCGGTTTGGGCAACCGGGTAGTATCACGCCCACTCACAAAACGATGGATTGTTCGTCTGCTATGTCGTTCTCAGCTGCCTTAGCTACCTGCACACCTTATCCACACGCCACCCGTTCATTTGTTACCAATCACTGTTATCCGTGACTAGCTGATTTCTGTTTCCATGATTCCACTCCCGATGGTTTCGTCGACACCAACAGAATTCAACCAGTGGCCTTCTTTCGACCTCGTATCGCCTGACATGGTTCAACGTACGTACACTCATGCAGATCGGGCAGCTGGCTGGTCTTGCGCGCACCTTGAAATCCCTTGCCATCCATGCTTGCTCTTTCTGAAACACGCTCGCAAGAATCCAGTACTGTGTTTCGGTTCAGATCTCCCACCGACCACGGAGCCATATTTCACCTACATTTATCCGGTGACACAGCGGCAGCTGCGACAGGCTTGTCTAGCGTTGGTGTAGCGCTAAGCAGCACAGCCGAAGCCGCGCTACTGGACTGGTTTCCGATTCATAGCCGAGTGTGTGCAGTTCGACTTCGTGATCATGCAAAATCAACAGACTCCGTATGGGGAAACTCAACTTGTTTGTGATCTCGGCTTGCAATCAACACATCTCGACAAATGCAACAGTTGAACAGAGAGCCACTCTGCTCTATATCAACGGAATGTCTGAAATGGCAACGAGGCTTTTATAACCTTTTGAAGTCAAAGTTACACACCAGCCAACGGAAACAATTCGCAGTAAACTCATCAAAGTGAAAGATAAGCTTAGCACAGCGGAAGAAACTGGTATGATTTATAAGCTCTGCCGCCAGTACTGTGGCAAGTACCACTTGGGACAAACTGGAAGAAAGCTTGGCATAAGGCTACACGAACACAGCCTAGCCATTCGTCGCCACGATCAGAACTCCCTGATGTCAGTGCATATGGAGGCCGAGAACCATCAATTCGACCTGGAGCACGCCAGCATTATCGTAAGGGCTAAAAGTTGACAAGCACGTTAGTCCATTGAAGCCTGGCATTCAAAGCAGAACTTGATCACTAAGCACCTGGACACTGAAGTCGCTTACGAGGCACTACGAACCAGGTCCCTGAAGCCGCACTGATGATGTTGCCTTGTCAGGCGATGAAACATCTGCACAATAATCACTCAGCTCGGAGAACAGCTCAAAATCCGCCCCAACTAACTGCGGTCAAGGACGATTTATACCCTGAACTTCACCAGCTCTTGCGCAGAACTTGCAAACCCGATTTGGTTGTCCTTTCTGGGAATCGCAACGCACGGGTCGATCTATTGTCATGCGAAAGTCACCTCGGTGGTCACCATGCGCTTGAGGAGAGCCGCTCAGATATTGAGGAGAGACAATCTTCAATTTCTGTCGAGCTCCAGCTTTCGGCTTTTGAGAAAACGTTCTGATACTTGGTGACCACCTTCTGCGTCCCAATCTTGGTCTCAAATTGATCATATCGCAATCAGTTTCAGATGGCGTGGTATTGTAAAAGATTACTGATCAATCTGGTCCACATTTCTTGACTCAGACCATGCTCTTCATTGTGCGAAGATCGCATTAGTTTTGGAGAATCTCAAAACGAAGCAGTGTAAGATGGATACAACTATACTATCTACTTTCTCGGTTCAGCGGAGCTATCAAGCTTCCCTGGCCGATGCATACAGCTGTAACTGTCCGCAACACATTGATGAACACGGGAAATTTATACAAAGCTCCATGATTTCCTCCGGGCAGTTAGTTTGCGGTCTTGCTCGACACACGAAATGATGGATTTATGACTACCTGCTAACCTTTATCGCTATCTGAGCTCTCTTTGGTCGAGATGCTGGCGGCCGGGCATACTAAACCTTATTCTACCGTACCGCAAACCACGTTCTTCTTTCCACGTTTATTCAAACCTCCTGTTCATGGCAGCCCCCCTCCAATTTCTTGTCTCCCAAATTGCATTGCAAATAAAAATCAGTACCTTGGGCCGCATCAGTGAACCACCCAAAACCAATCGCACATTCCAATACAAACAGCAAGGCTTTTATTGCACCCCACTCGCTCCTCAAGCTAGCTACGTTCAATGTTCGAACGCTCATGCATGTTGGTTCACAAGCTGCTCTTGCGCGCACCTTGGAAATCCTATCAATCGGCGTTTGCTGCATAACCGAAACCCGTTTACTAGACTCCAGCACAACGCTGCGATTGCTTTCACCATCCCCAAATTCCTATTGCACATTCACTTTGTGCTTATCTGGAGATGCGACAGCGGCAGCCTCTGTTGCACCGGCGTAGGAGTTGCGTTGATCGCATGTACTGAGCCAGCACTCATTGACTGGTTCCAAGTCACCAGCCGTTTTTACAGTTCGCTTGGAAAGCTCTATGCGACCTTCCAGCCACGGGACCAGTAGGCGCGGCTTATTCATTGTGGCGGCGTACGCTCCTACGGAGTGCAGCCCGGACGAAGCTAAAGATGGGTTCTACCGCCAACTCACCGAACTCCTCCGCAAGAAATGCCGCACGGACATCGTGATACTCGCCGGAGACCTAAATGCGCAGCTCGGTAGCCTACACCTTTTCTCAATCCGTTGCATCGTTCCCCCAAATGTTTGCATCGGTCACGCTTGAAGCTGCATCCTATGCGTTATGTGACACGTTGCATCTGTGCACTCACATGAGCCATACTCATGTACTGTGTTCGCGACGTGAGATCACGTGATCGCCTTTCCACCGACTGCACTGGTACGGTACATGAGTATGGCTCATACAAGGGCACACCTGCACCGCGTCACATGACGCACGCGATGCAGCTTCAAGCGTGACCGACGCCGATATTTGTGGGAACGATGCAATGAATTGAGAAAAGGTGTAGGGGTTCATGAGCGCCAACTTGGGGGTCAACACAGCCACGGTACTCGCAGGGCGGACAACGGCGCTCGACTCCTTCAACTGTGCGCCGACCACGGCTTGTTCCTCTACAGCACCAATTTCCGAAGTTCCTGGCGCCAACGAGCCACCTGGTGACCTCCGGCCCATAGTCAGGCTTGGACGCAGATTGACCACATCGCTGTTAGTTACCTTTGGTGAGGCTACAAAAGAGGCTGCAAGTTAATATGGAACACTTACCTGACTTCGGATCATGCGCTCGTGTGTGTTAAGTTCGTTCTGCGCTTTGAAGTCACCTAACAGGGTCGCCGGAAACACCTTGCTACAGGCAAGCTCACTGCCCCAAATGTTCTCGGCGCATTTCAGAACACATTAATTCCCAACCTCTGTTCTCTGTCCTCCGATATTGAGACACACTGGGCACAGATCCCTAGCGCCTTACGAAAGTCCGCTACCCTGGTCTGCAGCTCCACTAGACGAGCTGCTAGTCATTGGATATCTGCACAGTCTCTCCAATTAATGGAAGTCGTCGAACAATTCCCGCCTGAGTTGTGTACAACGCACTACGTAGAACCACAGGTGCTGAGCTCAGACAGCTCCTCAGGAGAGATCGCGAGGTTTGGTGGACACAGTGCGTCGTTGTGATGGATCCGGCAGTCTCTTCAGGAAACTCCCGCAAACTCTTCAACTTATTCGCTCTACGAAAGGCCAACAGTGAGTGAGGTTTTGCGTGAAAATGAAAGTGAAGTAATTCACAGTCGTCACCGTCGTCTGGTACTATGGGCAGAGCACTTTGAAGATCAGTTCAACTGGCCACCAGTGCATCTGAGTCCATTTTCTGGAGTTCACAGTGCTCCCTGGTGCCTGGATGTTTCTCCACCGACTGAGACTGTTTCCTCTGAGCTTCGCCTACTGAAGCGCCACAAGTCACCTGGCCTTATGAACCTCCTCCTGCCCTCTTCAAATATGGAGGTCCTACTTTCACTCGCGAACTGACATCTCTCTCCCAACAGATTTGGGCTACTAAAACAATTCCATCCGACTGGAATTTAGCGGATGTTGTACCTGTTTACAAAAAAGGAAACCGGACTATTTGCTCCAACCATCGTGGCATCAGTCTCATTTGTGTCGCATGCAAACTGCTCTCTGCCCTACTCTTGCGGAGGCTCAGTTGCGTACGGGAAAAGCACCTGCGTGAATAACGAGTTGGATTTCGCTCGGATTGCAGTTGCATCGATCAAATCTTTACGATCCACCAGATAGTTGAACATCGCCATACGTCCAATCGACCAACTATTGTCATATTCTTGGACATTCGAGCATCCTTTGACTCTTTTGACAGAGTGGCTCTTTGGGACTGCTTACTGAAGGTGGGAGTACCTAAGAAGTACATCAGCATTCTCCGTACCATTTACAATCAAACTTCGGGCTGCGTGCAAGTATATGGAGACATTTCTCTCCCTTTCAGTATCACTAGCGGTGTTAGACGGGGTTGCGTAGCCTCTCCTTTCATGTTTAACTTCGCTGTGGACTGGATACTGCCCCGGAAAACTCTGAGTTCTGCGATGTTGTACTGCTCCCTGGTGACTGGCTTCCGGACTTAGAGTACGCCGATGACCTCACTT